GAGCGGGGGGAGGGGCAGAAGGCGAGGGAGAAGCGGGCTCCATCCCGGGACGCGGGGACCTGAGCCGGCCACGCCCCCAACCTCAGCGAGGGTGAGGCTCGGCGGCACCACTCTTCGCATCACTGCAGTGCTGCTTACCGCCACCACCCATGTTCCAAACTGAAAGTCCCCACGAAACGCTGACCACCCCCCAGGCACGTCTATGACCAGACTCCCCGAGGGACATCGTGAGCGGGATCACCCTGGACCGGTCCTCATGTGCCGGCTCAGGTCACGGAGCCGCATGTCCTGACGGCCCCCGAGGCTGGATGCCCCCCCCCGCACAGACGGGCCAGTCTGCTTACCCTCTCGCCTGTTGATGGACACAGGCTGCCCCCCTCCTGGCCACGGTGACTCACGCCACAGTGAAAACGGAGGTGCACACGTCTGTTCATGTTCCTGCTTTCAGTTCTTTTGCGTAAACACACACCCTAGAGGGATGGCCACCTCACACGGTAGTTCCCTTTTTCATTTTTTGAGGAACCACCACACTGTTTTCCGCACCACTCCCACCAACAGGGCATGAGGCTTCCAGTTTCTCCGCATCCTCGCCCACACTTGTTTTGTCTTCTTCGTAATGGCCATCGGTGTGAGGTGCTATCTCCTTGTGGCTTTGATTTGAATTTCCCAAACGACCAGTGTAATGCTGTGCTTACTGGGGTCACGGCCTGCAGATGGACACCTAGAGGGAGGCTCCAGGGCCTCTGCAGGAAGCCAGGTGAGAGGAGGCAATCCCGTGACGAGGATGGCCAACGGACAGCTGTTTCCGGGGCTCGCGGCCCTGATTGCATGCCAGCCTCCTCGCCTGTACGCGGCCCTCCCCACCTGAACGTGAGTGGTTTCTATGTTCCACCCACGGTAGCAAATCACAGCCTGGGCCCAGCTCCAGCCCACCCCCCTGCTGTCCTCTAAGAATCACACCCCACTGTCCCCTGGACACTTCCCTCCCGTGAACAGGATGCTGAGTCCGCCCTGCAGGGGACGCGTGCACCAGGTGCGGGAGACCCACAGCTTGCTCGTGTGTGCCCTCCCCCGGCCACCCCGCTGTGGCTGTCAACACCCCTCCCTTCAGGCCACACACTGCACTGCCCCAAATGCAGCAAGAACACTGCCCAGCTGGCCATCACTCCTGGAGAGCAGGGACTGTCAGGTCACCCGGAGCCCAGGCCGTGCAGGCACCTGAAAAACCAAGTGGACACCAGATGGGGGCAGGTAGCGGAGCCATCTCAGGGACAGTCTGGGACATCACCCCATGTCCCGAGCTGCTCTGGTGCAGTCTTGCACTCTGGAGTCAGATGACCTGGGTCCAAATCCTCTCTCATCAGCACTGGCCAGAGGGGCTCAAGGACCTGACTTTGGACGCCTGTTTCCCATCCACAAAATGGGGACGAGCGGGAACACACTCACCCGAAGCTCCGAGGGGCTGCACAAGCTGCCGCGCGTGGGCGCCGGGCATGGGGGCCCGCACGCCACCAGGGGGAACACACGCCCCAGGAGGCTGCACCCCCAGAAGTGCTGAGCCAGGCCTCTGGTCCAAATATAAAGGGGTTTATTCACTCTGCCCTCAGTACAAAATATAAACTAGACCACCCGCCCCCTGCCCCCGCTCTGCAGCGTCGGCACCCGGGCGGCCTGTCCGGGGAGGCTGTTGTCCGCTCCGGCCCTCAGGCCTCGAACATGGCGCAGCCAGCACACAGCACCGTCTCGTGAACGTCACCGCAGCTGCAACATCACAGGCAAGAGAGAAGAAGTGGTTTAAGGGGCTCAGTCGCGCCCCCCTACATCGGTATGTTGCGGTGCTGAGCCCCGGTCCCCTGGCCGTATCTGGGGATAGAGCCGTGAGCTGCAGACAGAACCAGTTAAGATGAGGCCCCACTGCAGACGGGTGGGCCCTTACCCACGTGCGAGGCCACTGGGAGAAGGCTGAGGTGTGCCCACAACCCTGGGCCTGCCTGGGGAGGAGCCAATCCCGCCGACGCCCTGATCCTGGGCTTCCGGCCTCCAGAGCATGACAGCTGCTGGCTACGCCGCCCGCGTGTGGCGTCCTCCACAGCAGCCCCAGCGGACGGAGATGGCTGATGGCCCACCTGCGGCCCACCCTGCACAGAAACCTGCCCGTATCCAGTCAGGATTTACCGGGCCCCAGAGGTTCAGTGAATCGCAGGGGAGATTCATCAGGAGAGATCCCACAAGGACAAGAAATTGGCAGCATGCTACAGAACACACATGGACAGACACTGTAGGCCAAGATGCGCCAGCAAGAAGGCAGAGCTGCTTGCCACCTGGCAGGGAAGACAGTGAGCCCGTGACCCATGGTGCAGGACTTGTGGAGGACGACCAGCGTGGGCAGGACGCGATGGCCGCTGGGCTGCCCTGTAGTGAAAGCAGTCTTGACAGAGCGCCCAGCTCCGCGGCTCCGAGCACCAGGACCTGAGGGGCCACCCCTAAACGGGAGGGGGCAGCAGGCCAAGGCTGGCTTCTACACCTGGGGATGCCACTTCAGCCTTGTGACCTGGAGGGTGATCTGTTTGTAAAACGCAGCAGAGAGCCCAGCCCCCAGTCGTGTCTGAGAAATGGACGCTCCCCCCTCCCCACCCCTCCATCACAGGGTGAACTGTGTAGGCACCTGGGGAAAAAGCAGGAAGTAAACGCCAGGAGGACACTGTCAGGACAGGAGGAAAGTTCCCAAACACGGGCGGGTGGGAGGAGGGCTCCAGGCATCCCTTCTTCTCCCTTAACCTGCCCTGCTGCTGAGCTGGGTCCCTCCCCACGTGAAATAGCCTTGGGACACTGGGGGCCCAGGCCTCTTCAGTCTGCACAGAAACAGGAAGGGGAGAATAAGCCGGCAGAAGCAAAGGCAAGAGTAGTCCACGTGCATAACTGGTCAACACACGACCCAAGCTGGACTGCAGGGGAGCTCCAGGTGCCCACCTGCCTTGTGCTGCACATGCTGCCCCTGGCTTCCCCAGGCTCTGCTGGCTGGCCCACCTGAGCTGGGCTTCTGCTTGCCACGATTGGTTTCAGACTGTTGGGACTAAACTAGTTTGAGGTCTACACAGCCAGCTCCAAGTCTGTGCGGGGGCCTCGTCTTACACCCCCACCCGGTAGCCAACAGCGGCTGCTGGGGTGGGACTGGTACCCGGCGCCTCCCAAGCAGGTGCGGGATTCGGCCAGCAGAGGCAGACACGCACACTCAAGCAACAGACTAAGCCAACACTCCATCGTGGGTCAAGACGGCCGGCGAGAAGCCACACAGCCACACACCTGCACCCGCTCCCACCTGCTCCCACCCGCTTCCTCCAACGGCGAGCACGCTAACAGGAAAACCCCGAGAGACGGTCCTGACGCCAGTCTGAAAGGTCAGCTCGCCAAGCCGCTAGGACAGACGGCCGCAGGCAAAGGCAGAACTGGCAGTCTACGGGATCCGGACTTCCTCGAGGGAAGAGCGGTCTTCAGAAAAACTTCAAGCTAGGTGAAGCAGTTCCCGGCACGCCCCCCTCCCCAGGGGCAAGGCGGGGGGAGCCGCTCCCCCACCCCCGTCGGGCACTTACTCCGCGAGCGCGCACAGACCGCAGGCCACAGCCCCACAGCCGCAGCAGAGGTGCACGCACCGCCCACACAGGGCGCGCTCACACTGGCCGCAGACCGCCTTCCCGTCCAGCGCTCGCACGCACGAGGAACAGGCTCTGGTCACTGCCCTGGACGGGTCTGTGAGGAAGAAACGCCACCCATCAGCCCCACAGGGGATCTCAAGTGCTGCAGGCTGTGGGGCCACGGCCTCCCCGACCCGCGGACAGAGGGATGCCCTGAATCCCTGCATGCCATCTACCACTGGGTCCTCCTGACAACCTTCAAGAAAGCACAGCCCACAGACCCTTGCTCACTAGGAAGACCCCAGGCGCCCAGGAGCACGTTAGAGGGCAGTTTCTGGGACTCCGGGTTGAGCGCTCCTTCCGTTCCCGCTATCTAGACGTCGGCACTTCCTCCCTCGGTGGCTTGTCCCAGAACTCTCTCGTGTGTCCAGCGCCTGTGTCTCAGAGTGTGGCCCCCGCACCCTCGGTGAACAGAGTTCCTGGCCCCAGACCAGCCCTGGGGAGTGGGGGGTGGGGGGGCAGTGACTATGGCTTGTAACCAACGACAAAGGCGGTGGTCTGAGCTACACAGCGCACAGGGGCCCGACCAGCGATCCCCACCCGGCTGGGACTCCGTGTCTCGCTGCAAGCAGAAAGCAGGCAGGACACCAGGGAGGTTTCTCCTCCTTTCCTGATTCCCCCAGCCAGAAGCTGCTTCACAAGCCCCAGACTCGGATGTCAGCTGGGGGGCCGCGGGGGGAGGGCAGAGCCTCCTGGTGCTCACCAGCTCCTCAGACCCTGGGGCCAGCTCCTGCCTGGCTGGGGAAGGAGAAGCCCCCAGGCAGACGGTATCAGGAATGAAGGGCGACACACTTGTCACATCCACCCTTAGCGCACAGCTGGGAAGGCGCCTGCTGTTGGCTTCACTCACCAGCTTCAGAGGCCTGGGCTTGGCTCCTGGTCAGTCGGCCGTCTGGTCCAATCAGCATCTGCCCACGTGCGGCCCGGAGGGCCTCTGTGGGGCCAGGCTTCGGGGACTCTGGCAGGTCAACGATGGCACAGCTCTCCTCCCATAAGTGGTCCATGTAGGCCTGGGCCCCTCGAAAAAGGAGTTGCTTGGTTTTCTCTGGGAAGACAAATCAGTCCCAGTGTTCACACCCCTGTGGCGTGAAATCCCTGCACAGCCACCTCGTCCGTCAAGCCGTGGCCAGTGTGCACCCCTCTCACCTACCGCAGAGCTGCTGGCAAAAGACATGGCAGCAACTGGCTCCTGAGAGAGGAATCCCAGAACTTTCCAGACCCCGGTGGGCCCTGGGCACCCCCACCCTGAGAGCTGAACGGGGTGCTCAGCACTGGTTTTCCATCAGGCCACGCGTCAGTCATCTGGGGACTTTCACAAGATCAAATGCCCAACTCCAGCCCCCAAAATGCTTTGTGGTTTTCTGCCTTGTCTCCACAGAGCCGGGGCGGAGATCCTAGAAGCCGCTGGCTCTGTGTGATGGCGACAGGAACGACAGTTACCGGGTAACTCAAACGAGGCTGATGACAACGCCTCCTCCTCCTCCAGCACCCCCACCCCCGCGCCTTATCCGGGGATGGAATGGGGGAGGGGTGTCCCGTGCTGTGGTGAATGCTTGTTTTCCAGGCTTGGGATCCCAGCAAGGCAAAGAGGTCAGGTGACAGATGGGGCTGGAATGCCCAGGGCAGTCAAGGCGGCGGGGCAAAGAGCTAGACTGACATAGTCCCCATTTGTTTTAAACTCTTTTTCTGCCAGCGCAGTGTCTTTGAGCGTCCTTACAGGGTGGGCGCTTACAGTTCTGCCAGAGTCCCCGCGGCTGCGCTCACTTTCACCACCTGCAACCCAAGCGTGCAAGGAAGGAAAGGGCCAACAGCTGCTGGGGGCTGGGGGCGGCAGCAGGAGGAGGAGAACTGGGGTCTCCCAGGGCGTCTCTTCCCCACATCCCCAGTACAATGGCAGCTCCACGCAATTACAAACACCACCTGCCCCGCAGGCACAAACACTGTGCCCCCAACCACGAGGTAAGGTAAGCTCCACTTTGTAGCTGCCTCAGGGTATCAACCACCCGAACGGGTGCCCAAGAACGCACCTAACACCTGCACGAGAAGACCTGCTGTAGCTCACTGCCCTCACGTCTCACCCCGAACTGCCCCGCCCTGCTTCCCGGCCTTTGCACACTCCGCGCCTCCGCCTGAATTCCTGTTCCCTCCCTCCCTGCCTCCCCGACTCCTGCTCAGCCTGCAGGACTGCGCTCAGACTCTGCTGCCCCCCGAGACCCGTGCCCGTGGGGATTCCCTTCCCCTGCAGGCCCCCGCCTAAACCAGGGCGCTCCCGGTGGCAGGGCCTCCGCGCAGCCCGAGGGTTGGGATGGGCGCTCGCGCCCGCTCACCACTCGGAGCGTGACGCCCCCGACCTCCGCGGGGCCGGAGTCGGAGTCCTCGGGGGACAGAGCGCCGCGGCGCGCCGGCAGGAGGGCGGCAGGCAGACCTCTCGCGGGC